AAGGTATTGGATCAGGTCGTGCTGACTTTGGTTGGTCGTTGTCATCTGCTGAATCCTCCCAATCAATGCCGTCGTTGCTTTCATCATCCGAAGACTCTAAGAAGGATGGTTTGGGTGCTTCCTTTGCAGGTTCTGGCTCTGCGGGCAGACTTGAAGCGGCTAGTTCACTGTCAGAATCGTCAATGCAAGAATCCTCATCAGAGTCTGTGTTGAGCACCGAGCTTTTCTTCTTTGAATCCGCGGTTGCATTGACGGGCAAAGGTATTGGATCAGGTGCTGACGACTTTGGTTGGTCATTGTCATCCGACTCCTCGTCTTCCCAATCAATGTTGTCGTTGCTATCATCATCTGAGGAGTCCAGAACGGATGATTTAGGTGTTGCTTTTGTTGCAGGTTCTGGCTCAGCGGGCAGATTTGGAGCGGCTTGTTCACTGTCCGAATCGTCAATTCCAGAATCATCGTCAGAGTCCGTGTCAAGTGCTGATTTCTTCTTTGGATTGTCCGTGGTTGCATCAACTGGTTCTTCTTTTGGTGGCGACAAAGCTATTGGATCAGGTGCTGATGACTTTGGTGCATTATTGTCATCTTCTGAATCCTCCCAATCAATGTCATCGTCGTCGTCATCCGAGGAGTCAAGAAAGGATGGTTTTGGTGTTGTTGGTTCAGCGTCATCATCACTCTCCTCCTCGTCGGACGACGATGAGTCTGCAAAGGATGATTTGGGTGCTGTTTTGGCAGGTTCATCTTGTGGTTGTTTGGGCTCAGTAGTGTCAGATTCTATACCTGCAGAATCCTCCGAGTCGGTGTCAAGAATGGAGTTGCTCTTTGTATCCGCAGGTGCTGCTTTTGGCTGTGACGGTATTGTTGTTTGTTTGCGGTCGCTGGCATCATCTGAATCCTCCTCCCAATCGTCATCAATTTCATCATCCGAGGAGTCTAGAAAGGATGATTTTGGTGTCGCCTTTGTTGCAGGTTCTGGCTGAACGGGCAGATTTGGAGATGTTTGTTCACTATCAGAATCTTCTACTCCAGAATCATTGTCAGAGTCCATGTCTAGCAAAGTTGGCTTGCTGTCTTCGTCTGGCTTTTTGGAGGGAGGTGGAGATTCGTCGTCGCTGTCCGAAATAAACTCGTCGGAATCGGAGTCCATTATTGTGGAGTCCTTCTCGACAGAAGGGCTTGGTGTTTCCACGTCCTCTGATGGCTGTTCTGGGTCGTCGATATCATATTCCTCTGAATCGTCCTCGAACTCATCCGAATCCTCATCGTCAGACGAAGAGTCTACGGCAGACTTTTTCTTTTGTTGTTTGCTTGGATTGACTGCAGCTGGTTTGGATGGAGCTTTGACGGCCTCATCATCTGATCCATCGGAATCGGAATCGTCCTCGTCATCGTCCGAGTCTAGAAAGGATTTCTTCACTTTGGCTGCCTGGGACTTGGAGGACTTTGGCGGTGGAATAGCAGATTCATCATCGTCTGAATCATCGTCGTCCGCATCCGAGTCTGAGTCTAGAAAAGAGCTCTTCTTCTTGCTATCAATAGCAGTACTAGTAGTGGTGGAATTCTTCTTGTGGCTGGTGTCGGATTCCACCGAAGTTTCCTCATCGCTGTCACTGTCCAGAATGCCCATTCTGCTGCCACCGGTAGCTGTATACTAGATCCACTGACTAGCTAGACTATCGTCTTCTTTATTCCTACGGTACCCTACCGGTATCCTGCTGTTTCAAGCACGATAGATCGATGAGTTGCCATTGCCTGCACGCTCCGAGTCGAGTCCATCACGAAATGTTCTTGCTTTGCATGCTGGTCACTCGAGTCGTCACTCAGAGCTGTAATCCGCCCGTGCCTCATTTTTCTCGGATAATTGGAAAAAGCGTGCGCCTCGGCCTAAAATGTCCCAATTTCCACGATATTTCCACGGTTTTCTCTTTCCATTTTCCACGCTTAAGTTCATTTCCCCCAAGTGCCTGTGTGTGTGCTTGTTGGACATGCCGCAAACCAAAGGCTGGCTAATAAGGCTATGTGTCACAAGGACACAGAATTTTGCAAACATCCACCAAGTAGGTAGAAAGAAATCTTGTTGACAAATTCCTTTTTCTACTTCTCCATTACAACAAGCAAATAGCCAGATCGCTCCAAGTGAGGGTGTACTCGTAAGCGTGATTTTCCGCTGGGGATGGGCAAATCTTGCTATAGGGCTGTACTTTATTAGTTGATAGCAATGGATAAAACTAATTCAGTTAGATTTCTCCATCAAATAGACCGACTTCTTGTGATCAAGAGGCCAACACCGGTGCCATGGTCAACCTTACTTCTTATTCTCAATCTTCTTCGTCAATCTAAAACAAGGTCGTTACTATGGGTTAGAGGGGACTATGGCGAGGATGGGTGGTAGAGGAGGAGGGCAGGATGCACGAACGCGAGCCGAACAATCGATCAAGTGAGCAGACCAGGATCAAAACCAAAGAAGGAGGGGATGCAAGGTAAGGGGGCAGGCAGGAGCACAGGAGTAAGACTAGCCATAGAAAAAAACTGAACATCTACATGTATTAACCGATTCAGACAAGATGTGCTTGAGGACTACCCACGAGCCGAGGCCCGGGTGTTTCCCACAGTCAAGTCTGCTCACTGGCCTCCTGACTCGAGAGGAGTAAGAAGACTAGCCAAAGCTTGGAAGCCTTGAGAGCTGGCAGCCTCTCAAACACATCTTCGGCTCAATCATTCTTGGGTGTTCTTAACCACCGATTTTGACGTACGTACGCGAAATCGAAATAACTGCCGAATTCGGAAAGGTGACCTCCAAATCCACACATACGGCGAACCGCAGAAAATGTTTATAGTAAAAAAGTGGAGCTGCGGTTCGCAGGATGGATGGATTTGGAATTCGCGTAGGACCAATCAAAACGCTCGCTCGAAGGTCACAAATCCCCAACTCTAGCGAGTTTCGAAAAGGTCACAAATCCCCAACTCTAGCGAGTTTCGAAAATCGAAAAGTGAGATCTCGAGATCTCGAGCACATCCTCGAATCTCGAATCATTGAAAAGTGAGAAGAAGACTACTACTGTACTAGTAGCCGTTGTTGTTGTAGTCACTGTAGCCACTCATCAGCCACGCTGTTGTCATTGTGGTCATGGATACCGACCATGAATACGAACAAGATGCCGCACTACTTTTGCAGCTCTTTATTCTAACGGTGGGCCTTTTACTGTGTCTACCGGGCGAACCTCGGAACCCTTCCTTTTTCGAACAAAGGTTGGCTTGGCAGCGCTACTGCGAAAAACACCAGAGGCGTTCAACCTTTAAGAGACGACTACGAATGAGCAAAGAAAGCTTCGACAAACTGCTTTCTTTCGTAGTTGACGACTTGCTAGTAAACGAGACACAAGCTTTGCGGAGAGGAGGATCCATTCTTCCTGAACTCTGTCTCTATTGCACGCTTCGATATTTGGCTGGCGGCTCATATCTAGATATTACCGACATCGCTGGAATATCACAGAGCTCATTCTACCGCGTACTATGGAAGACTATAACGGCAATCTGTAAGTCTCCGCAGCTGAAGATTCGCTTCCCAACTACCGACAAGGAAATAAAAGACGCAATAGACGGCTTTGCTGGGATATCCGATGGTGGCGCCATAAGCAACTGTGTGGGTGTCGTTGATGGCTATCTTATGCGTATAAGGGTTCCCGCAAAAAAGGAAACAGGCAACATTCGTAGCTTCTTCTCTGGACACTATCAGTGCTACGGAGTTAATATTCAAGCCGTGGCGGATCACCATTCACGGTTCATATTCTTTGCCTATGCCGCTCCAGGCGTTTCTGACGACCGTAATGCTATGCGGCAATGTGCTTTGCACAATTTGGTGGAGTCACTACCATCCGGTATTTGTGTAATCGGCGATGCTGCGTATATCCCCACAGAGCGTATGGTTCCAGTTTACCAAGGTTCTGACAAGCTGGTTCCACTCTACGACAACTTCAACTTCTACGCCAGTCAGTGTCGCATACGTGTCGAAATGGCCTTCGGAATGATGCAGCTGAAATGGGGAATACTTGCGCGCCCGGTTGGCTGCTCCTTGAAGAATATGTTGTGGTTGGCGCAAGCCATAGCTCGCCTACACAACTTTTGTATCAACGAACGCCTCGGAACTGCAGAAACAATTGACAGTGGCACCGTTGGTACAAATGGTACGGGATACATTCCCAGTGTACCGCATGATGACAATGGCGATCCTGTGCGGTTGGACGGTGTTTTCACAGGTAGCTTTGAGGGAAATTCACATCTACGGGAATTCATGGCCAATAGAGTTAGGCGTCTACAGCTGCAACGGCCTGCGAAGAACAGAAAGCGTAAAAGCAGAGAAGACGAGTAATACACGAATCACATTTAAATATTAGTATTTTTATTCGGCTATTGCGCCAGTTTCCTCTGTTTCAATAACTGACTTGGCCGGCACGATCTTCAAGTGCGCTTCAAGTTGTCGGATACGAACTTCCATGGCTCCAACCATACGGGCTTTGGACGAATCCCCGTTGCGGATATCCTCCTTCAATTTACAATACCGATCGCAGACATCGAAATAGTCATTCCAGCTATTCGTTTGAGAGACTTCCTCCGTCGCGTTGTTTCTTTGGCTCATTGCTTCCTTCAAATCGGTGGTTGCAGTGGCAAGGGATTCCACGACGGCGGATACAGCAAGTTTTCCCGCTTTGCTACCAACCGAATCAGCACTCCCAGTAAAGTCAACCGTAGAGTCACTCTTCAAATCTTCGTCCATAAATGCCGCAAACTTGCCATCAATGGCAGGTTGTTGTCCACAAAGATAGTCACAGTAGTAAAATGTAACGGCAGGTAGAGCAGACGTAGATTTCCTCACTTTGGTAAACTTTGTCGTTGTACAGTATGTCCAAAGGTCGTTGCTGTGCTCACCGGATTTCTTCATTTCCATGCGGCATCTCTCCCGTGCCTTCATCAAATCACACACATGTTGCTTAACCGTCTTGAAAGTATGGCCGCGGCTGATGTCTTTCAGGTTGAAACCGTTTTCTTGGTTCCATGCACTGAGCCTGTCGTTTTCCCCCTCTTGCAATCCTAAGACGGCGTCAAACGAATCATCATCCGTCTCATTCATTGTTGTTGAGACAAGAATCCAAAAGTCTTTCACTGGATTTCCGCTAACTCCCTGCTCTGAGAGCGGCTGTTCTTCGTAATCTTTTCGTCCCTTACTGTCGTTGAGAGCAACAAAGGCAGTGAAATTATCAGTGTGGAAGCAGATATTCAACAGTTTGATGAGAGTGTTGATCCTCACGGCTGCGGCATCAGAACCTGGGTTCGCAATAGACTGGTCAGTGTACATAATGCCCATCTGAATGCTGCGTGCAATCTCCATCCTTGCAGTGAAAATAGTCATGTTTCCTCCTCCCCTGACTCCACACTTGAGAGCGAGAGCACGGATGTCCTTGCTAGTAAATTTGGACAAGTCCAGGACTTCTTCTTTGGGTTGGTCTTTATGAAGGGTCATTGTCATAGCCACATTGTATATCTCACCATCCTTGGGACTTTTCTCTTGCCCGCACACAATTTTGTGCTTGTGCGCGGTGTGGTCGTATCCGCCAATCATTGCAGAGACAAGCTTTGCAAGCCTAACCTCTTCCGCTTTCTTGGAAGTCTTTTCGTCTTGTTTCTTCTTCTTTTGAACCTGTTTGGCAGCTTCCTTTGCAGCTTTCCTCGTTGTTGGTGAGGCCGATCTCTCTACGGGAGAGGCGGAGGTAGTCCGTGCATGTACCTTAGGCGAAGGAGTCGTCCTATGACGTGGTGGTCGTTCCCGTAACTCCTGGGCTTTGAGTTGCCCCATGTACATGTCTTGGCCAAACTCGTCGTCGTAGTATTCCAGAGATCGTGGCGGCACCACAAGAGCACGCTGTTGATGCATTTCCTGTATCTGCATCTGGTGTCGCTGTTGTATTTCCTGCAAGCTTAGACGTGGACGAGGGAGAGAAGCTGCGACTGGGGCTGCGACTGGGGCTGCGACTGGGGCTGCGACTGCAACTGGGACCAAGACTGGGGAACGGCTACTCCTCGATGACGACTCAGACTCCTCGGCTTCCTGTTCGTCTCTCTTCCTCTTGTTCCGCTCGTCAGACTTCTGTAGTTGACGTCCTATATCAATGGACCCATCGCTGCCATCTTCACTCATCATGACAACGAGTGGAGAGTGCGATGCAATTCGATTCGATTACGGTGATAGGAAGAACTCAAAAAAAGGGAAATTGTGAAGATAGAGGAGCCACAAAGGGATCCACATGCTTGCCTCCTGTGGATCCACATGTGCACGAGGCTATTGGTAGGGCTAGCATCCAACAGATTCTTTCAAAGAACAATCATGTGCTATTATCACGAGATTTCCTGACGCACCGTGATTGCGTTTTGGCAGAATCTTGCTGGATGCTCACCCGATGACCCTAACCCTGATGATGAGGCTTATTCGCGAATGACGTATCCGCGAACCAACCGTTTGGTTAAGAATGAAGCCACATACGCGATTAATAAATGAAAATAAATGTGTTTCTCGGCGTACGTACGAACCACATGATCGTGGATAGGAAGTCAAATCAGACATGCTGCTTCCTCGGAAAACTGGTGGTTCTACCATGGACTCGAAAGGGTTACGGTGACGGTCATGTGACTCGGAGCCATAAATCCATAAATGCGGGACTCGGAAAAAATGTCAAAATTTCCACGACCGCTCACCCCCAAAGTGTTCCGTGGTAAGGGCACTGTCTACCGGAGGTGACTAAACGCGCGCTTAAAGATTGTTTAAGACTGGTATTTAATCGTGTGTTTAGTCGAAAAGCTTTAAGATCGTCAGTGTCTACCGTGTTTCGACTAACCATGCACACTAACGGTTAGTCGTGAGTTTTGTCGAAAATTTTAGACTGATCAGTATCTACCGAAACACGCCTAACAGTTCGACTAAAATCCGTCCACTCGCTCGCTGGAAGGAAAATCGCAACCTCTCTCATTCAGTCATTATTATTCCTGTTGTGCTCTATTCCATTCCACTCCCTTTGTTGTTGCTTTTGACTCTATTGATCAGCACCATGGCCTCTCGAGATGATGCCTCTGCTGCTACTACTACTACTGATGATGGAAGTCAGTCTGCCGATTCCAAGGCTTTGAAGAAGAAAGATGATGGATCTATTGATACTGCAGATCTCAAAGAAAAGCTCGCTGAATCTGTCAAAGAGTCTGTTGCCATTGCCACAAGAAGCACTCCTGATCGCCAGTGCAAGCACAAGCAGAATGTAGAAGACTCTCTTGTGATTAATACAAAGGGCGCCAGGCATGTCAATACCCGGAGAGGTGCTGCCGCAGGTTCCTGTTCCAAGGCCAACAAGAAGGGAAACAAGAAAAAGGCTCCTGGTGGGAAACCACCCCCTGGCAAGCCAAAGAAGAAGTCGAAGAAGGTGCCTGCTGTGAAGGAGGAGTCTCAGCAGCGCAACCATGGTTCCAACTTCACGAAGAAGGAAGATATTTGGCTTGCCCGTTCCTTCATTACTTGTTCCAAAAACAATCTACTGGGAGCCAACCAAAAGGACAAGAAATTCTGGCACAAAGGTGTGGAAGCACGCTTCAATAAGCTGGCCGAGGAGGAGACAGAGCCTGATGATGATGGTCTCAAGGTGTTTGACTTTCGAAATCATGAACAGCTCAAGCGTCGTTGGAAGTTGATTGCCGAGAGATCCCGCAAGTTCATGGCTGTCTACCGAGCTTCCCACTCCCAGGATCGTACCGGCTTTTCCACTGAGCAGGACTACATTGATTGGTCTGTCACTGAGTACTATAATAAACATGGAGTGCCTACCCTCATCATTCCTCATCTTCAGAGTATCCAGCCTTTGACTTCTCTATTACAGAGGAGGACGCCCAGAAGAAAATTGAGGAAATGGACTCAAAGAGAATTGTAATGGATAATCCAGTCACCAAGTCTGCTACCAACAATTCCAATGCCCCAATGGGAGCTTCCTCTGCTCGTCCAATGGGAACCAAGAAAGCCAAGTTGAAGCATGCCCTGGAGAAATTGTCCACAGGGTCGGACTCCAAGAATAAGCATTTGGCCGAGTTGGTGGAGACTCAGAGGAACATGGTCAAGTCTTTGAATCACCGTGGAAACATGCGCTCCAACATCGAAATGGCTAAGATCTATGCTGCTATGCAGGACAACGCAGAAGCCGCCAATCTTCTTGCTAGAGCCAAAGTTCAACAGCAGAAATTCGAGGAGATTTGTGACGAGCAGGATCGCAAGATGGCAGCCAAGGAATCAGCCAAGGAATCATCAACCATTCCGACAGAGATTGATATCGATGTCGCAGCCGGCACCCTTCCGTACCGCTTCCTGCCAAGCAGAAAACTGCTTCTCCCAATCAAGGATTGGATCGGACAAAGTCTTGACAAGTCATTGAGTGTACCGGCATATCCAAAGGCACCCCACCAAAGAAATAGATTATGGTCTCCCAAGCCTTCGAAGACAAGCGTGGGAATTTTCTTGGAGCCCTTGTAGGCACCTTGCCAACCAACTGGACAATTCTTCCATGCATTGTGCATGCAATCAAGGGATCCAAGCATCCCGGGAACACCGTGGACTTGCTGGTGTAAATCTGAAATTGCTTTCAAGTCTGTGGCAGTGGGCATTCGTAGGTATTCTTCTTGATACAACTGCCGCATAACGATGTCAAAGTACTTGCGGCAATCTCTGGCATGAGTTAGGGACATTTGAAAATAATCCCGAAATGCATTTACCGGAACACCGTAGGCAAGACACTTCAACGGGAGCAACAATCGAGCTTCCAAGGAAGAAATCTTGCGGTCAAAGGCATCAGTTTCCCCACTGTAAAAGAAATGGCCACTGTTCCCAAAGTCCTGGCGTATTCGCTCAAACCGTTGAGTACTGATACGGAAGATTGTTTCGAATTCTCTGCCATTGAATCTCGGTAGTGGCGACAAATAGTCGTCCATAATGCACTGGTACGCCCGATCGTGGTCATAGACACGACGTTGATTCCTCGAAAATATACGGTGATCAATCGAATCAATGTCCTCTCCATCGCTGTCAACGACATCCATGACGACCGACTGGACCGTTGACAAATTGGCTATCAAGTCGAATGCGTCCTGATCCTCTTCCGAACTGCTGCTAGAGGAATCCATAGAGGTGCTGAATAGTAAAAGTGAGGATAATAAGCGGTAGAGATACAGATAACAAGAGGCAAGTAGTTGGTTTGTTGGTTGGTTGGCTTGTTCTGCTTGTTGCTGTTGCTACTGTTGCTGCTGTTGCTGCTGCTGCTGCCTGCTGCTTAAAAGACTGTTAGTCAAGCCTTTTGTGTTGTGAGCAATTTTCACTAAAGAGCCTCCCGTTAGTCAAAAACGACGACCTTTGACTAACGAGTTTAGTCGAAAATAGCTTTAGTAGCATGGGTAGACACTGCCGAAAATACTAAACTTTCGACTAAACGACGATTTTTGGTTTAAGAGCGCCTTTAGTAGCTTCGGTAGACAGTGCCCTAACCGGCATGCCGCAATCCACGCTTGATGAATAATAGTAGATCTAGCAGATCAGATAGATGATCACTCGATTGATCACATATTCCGACCAAGTTCCCCTCGAGCTTTGTCCCCATCCTCATCTTAGCTCTCTAATCCATAGTAAACCCGATCTTTGAGTTCTAGATCAAACCGTCAGAAACCATGAAGGAAGAGGAGGCTGGGAAGCCGGGCAACCTGGATTCTAACCACAACCAAGAGCAGGAACACAACGAGGGACAACAGGAACAAGTTGCAGATACCGCCGCTCAAGGTACGAGTACCATTCTGACAGCAGAAAAAAGAAACATCACGTATCCCAAAATGAGCACAACTTTTGGTCACACAGCTTCTCCATCAGCTGTAGATACCATTGAGCCGCAACAGCACCACCAGGAACAAAGAATAGTGAGCCATATGTTGGGTACTGACGAGTCCAACAGAATTGGACCCATCGACACCAATGTAGCTTGGGTCGATACGATACAAAATTATGACAATCATGGAATTATGCCTTTGCCTCGATTGGGACGGAGTACTGCCAACAGCAGGGCCCAAGTACAACCAGGAGCCTACCCAGGTGGAGGAGATTTTCAAGGAATAGAGGAGAATTTGGAAACAGCAGAGACACACATTGAACCAGCCACTGAGGCACTCGACTTGTTAGGGTTTCGACCACCTACGATCGAACCAGAAAATGACAATAGTGGTTTGGTTGTGGCAAACTTGGTTGAAGATGAAACAGCCCCTCAGGATCTGCCCCAGGCTCAAGATTACACCTGGAAATGAAAACAGACAGAGAAACAAGAATGAAGCAATTCAAAATCAAGGTCCTCTTGGGGGTCATTGTCTTGCTGGCCATCATTCTCATTTTGGTAGCTATCCTGATTCCTCGAGGTCAAGAGGCTAATGCAGATCATGTCCCAACAACTGCGCCTAGTGAGTCACCCAGCAGCAACCCATCTCCGGGACCGTCGTCTAATTCAGAATACTGGCTGTCACTTTTCCCGAACAACAGTCTGCAATTTGGAGGACCAGTCGCCCAGTGAGGCATTTGAATGGCTCATGGAAGAATTGAATCCTCACAACCTTGCAGAGGGGTGAGTAGTACAGCGTTTGTACTTGCAACATTCTATTTTGCCAACAGCGAAGAACGGTGGTTCTTGAGTGATAACTGGCTAAACCACAGTGTTCATGAGTGCCTTTGGTATTCAAGATTGGAGGAGTATTATTTCAATTTTGGTGCCAACATATATTTCCCACTGGATCACATCAGTCCCTGTGAGCAAGATCCAGGTGGCTATCTAGAGGAAGGCATTTCATATCAGGGAGATGGCATCCTGAAGCACTTTTGGTTGTGATTCAATGGCCTATCAGGATCAGGGATTCCACAAGAGCTCTATTTGCTTACTGACCTCAAGAGCTTGGCATTGGATGGATTGAACCTTACCAGCACCATCCCAGAAGAGCTCTTTGGCCTTCCCAGTTTGGAGTATCTCTCGATAATGAGTTGTGGTCTTTATGGCTCCATTCCTGAGGCAATTCGAAGTTTGTCAAAACTCTCAGCGGTCAACTTGGCCTACAACTCTTTGACAGGAACTGTAAGTAGCGACCTATGATGTATCTGATAGATTGTTCTGCATTGTCTCATTTTGTCAAATCATCACTTTGACCGTCGATGGTTCCCAAAAAAATCAAAAAAATCTTTATAACGGATATGGCGTCGATGGTTCCCAGATTCCATCATCCCTGTTTTCGCTTTCGTACTCCATGAGAAGTATTATTCTACAAGAAAATCAGCTGACAGGACCAGTACGTAGATTACGAGTCTTGTCTTTTGCAAATACAGTTTTGCTGTCCTCACTTTACCTATCCTTCATCTTGTAGTTACCAACACCAGAACTGGGTCTGCTGCCTGGTCTGCTTACTAGCTTGCAGGCTATGTGGTTTGGTGGAAACCTTTTCACGGGGACAGTTCCCACAGAACTTGGGTGGCTGACTCTCTTGGATAGATTAGATCTTAACGAGCTGTTGTTGAGTGGCACTGTAAGTTCTTGCCGTAATGTTTGGGGGGTTGGGTGCTTGTTTATAAATATATTTGCATGCTTCCTAGCTGTGCTCAATATTTTCTGTGAATTCATTTAGATCCCAGCCGAGCTTGCAATTCTTACAGACATGCAAGAGCTGTACATGCATAACTCTGGTCTTATGGGGACAATCCCCAGGTGGCTTGGCAACATGACATCCATTGAACGCATGACACTGATGGGGAACTTCTTTACTGGGACTGTAAGCTGTTGTGTACCAGTCCTGTCAAATTACATGTACTTCTTCTTCTAACAGTTGAATCCGTGGTGTCTTCTTTTCACTCTAGATCCCAACAGAGCTTGGTCTGCTAACAAAGATGCTTGCTTTGTGGCTTGGTGTGAATGCTTTGTCGGGCACAATCCCAAGTGAATTTGGAATGTACGAGAAAGAACAGTTAGTGTTGACCTTGCGTAGCAATAACCTCACAGGAACCATTCCCACGGAGCTTGGTCTGCTTACTAGTTTGTGGCAGTTGTGGCTTTTTGACAATGAATTGACTGGAACAGTGCCCCTGGAGCTTGGCAATGTTCCTTTCCCTGCACCTTATGGTCAGGTCTATTTATTTGGCAATGATCTTTCTGGCATTATCCCTGCAAGCCTGTGTTCTGCTAACAACCTTACTTTTGACTGCAGCGACCTACTCTGCGGATGTGACTGGTGTAACTGTTCTGACATTGAAACATCAACGATACTGGAGGGAGAGACTACGAATGAAGATGGTCAGCTGCTGAGTGGGGCAAACCAAACTGAGGGGAACCAAACTGAACCCTGACACGAATGACTGGATGGTTGTGTGTGTGTGTTGTCTAACTTCTTTCCAAGACCAAGATCCATGTTTTTAAAATGTGTACGGGGGGTTTAGAGTAGGTGGATTGTCTACGGAAATTTGCTCTGAACTTTGCACGCCAACTCTTTGTCTCGCCCCCATAGCATTTATGTCTCTCTGGATCCCACAAATTCAAGCTCTTTGGCCCTCTTGTTGATCCCCAGCTCGTGGCCGCTGATCCCATACCCATGGAACCTAATAGCTAGTCCTGAATTCGCCTTTTTCTTCTTTGGTACCGTACCCTGCCGGCTTTTCTCCCCTCCTCTTTTCAAGTTCCCATATGACTGTACCGGTAGGGATATGCCATGCACACTTACATGTAAGCTTAAATTCGTCATCTCCCCTGGGGAGTGTGGTGCTGGTGAGGGCACAAATGGTCTTCCAATCCCTACTTCTGTTGGGTGCGGTTGCTCACGGCTTGGGCTGCGACTCAGCATTGATCCTTCTCTGTTTTTGTAAATCCCCCTTTAGTTGTGAGTAAAATTTCAAAATACAGTAAGGATAGAGGTAGACTTCGGTACGGAAAGATACTGTACGATCTTAAGCTTCACTCGTGTGTGAAGCTTCCTCACTGTTCTGCGTCAGTGATCTGATGGCACCATGCATACCCACCGCCAACACATTGCAACAGAACAGGGAAAGGAAGATATCATACCATCACGCTTGTGCTGAGTTCATTTTTCAGTGAAGAGGATGCATGATGAGTCTATGAAAGTTGAAAGCCTCTAGTTAGTTTCATCTCGCAGTCAAAAAGCCAAGCAATTTCCAGGGAAGACAAGGATTCTCAAACCTGTGCAAAGGGTACCTCATTGGCACTTGGTCAAGATATTGAGCTACCATGACATCATCATTCCATTGGAAGCATCCGTCTGTATGGCGAGTGTTGTCGGCTGCAGGAGTCGGTTCTGTGTGGGGTACATGTATCCACAAGTCACTGGAAGATCGCGTTATTAATACAGCCACTGATACCGATGACGGTGGCAGAAAACCAGCGGTACCATCGGCTGGTACGAGGAATAGTCCTGGCTTCCTGAACCTCAATCTCTTCTTGAGACCAGCCACAACTCACATGGAACCAACAGCAGCACCATCACGGTACCCAAAAATCTTGGCAACCAGTACCAATGTTTCTGCTGCTGATAATATAGCTGCCAAAAACTCTCAACAACAACAACAACAACAACAGCCAGTCAAGGAATACGATTTTGTGATTCTGGGACATGGCATTGCTGGAAAGAGTGCTTTGGAAACGCTGCAAAAGCTCTCTCCCCAAGCGTCCATTGCCGTCATTGACCCCTTTTTGGCTTGGAACCATAAGAGCAAGAAATCCCAACACAGTAAACAACAAACACCAAGCAGCAACAACAGCAACAACAACAACAACAAGGTGGATTTCTATGCCAGTCGATGCCAAGGATTTCATCCACTGACACGACAAGTCCAAGTGCAAGTGCAACAACAACACTCTGATGATGATCATGCCACCACAATCATTCGGTATCAACATGCCATTTTGGTGGCCACCGGATCGCGGGGGGCACCACCGCCTCATTATTTGCTCGATGAAAGAGCACTGGGACGGATATTGGAGTTGAGACCCACCATTTTACCACATCATACTGACAAGACAACTATTACAAGACCCATTTGGAATCCCGCACAGATACGACACACTGTCCTGCAGGCAGCCCGTCGAGGAGACAAAGTGGCCGTGTTGGGATCCGGTTGGGATGCCATTGAATTGGCCGTGGCGGTGTCGTCGTCGTCCTCTACCAAAAAGCCGGCGGCGGCATGTCTCGTCTTTGGTGGCAAGGGACCCCTCAGTCATGTCTTGCCACAATACCTGAGTGCGTCCGTGGCCAAACGATTGACGTCCATCAAACACAACATTCCCATTTTGCATCGATCCTTGATACGGTACATTGGAAGTGATCAAGTGTATTCCAAGAAGAAAACGAAGAGCCACGACCATAAAGATGATGCGGGCTTGCAACTCTATACCGCCAAATCCTATGATTTTCTGGATGCCTCCAGAACAGCCGTTCAATGGGTTGTAGGTAAGTTAGTGTTCATTCATTTTGTGTTCAATCCAATCGATACCCTGTCTCATCTCATCTTTTCGTGCTACACTCTCGTCCTCACCATGGCATTCCTGCAACTTGAACAACAGTGGCTCCAGAAGTCAGTGGATCCATGGGAACGGCGGCCTTGCCAACCAATAGTACTCCAACACATTTGCAAGCCGCACAAGATGGTCGCGCATGGTACCAAACATGGTCGCATCTCACCACCATACTAGCCAACAATAACAAGACGTCAACAACCAACGCCCTGTCGACGGCCAATGTGCTCGCTTGCTACGCCGATGATGGTAGGATTGCCGTCAACGCCGAGCTATCCGCCGGGAACGGAGTCTACGCGGCAGGCTCGGTGGCCAAGTTTCCCAATCCTTGGACTGGAAATGCCGATGTCGCAGGAGTGGGAGCGGAAGATGGTACCCAGGCTGGTTTGGTGGCAGCCTGCAACATGGCACGGGACTATCAACAGCGCAAGCAACACGGACTCTTTGGCGGCAGCAGCGGTAGCAGTGGTGACATGGATCTCTCCAGAGACATGGCTCATTTGAAGCATCCTGTACCCGTGTGGAGATCCGATACGGCCACTGGCAACAGCAACAATTCGCTCAAGGAAGCTGGAATCTATGCCTTGTGCGTCGGATCTTGTGATTCCGAGCGATTCTCCACGCAAGCATTTTGGTGGACGAACCAATCCAAGCGGCTCAAGCAATGGCTGGACGACGATGACAGTAGTGCACCGAGAAGCCCTCGTAGGCGACGAACAGCAAGACTGGTCACCAATCCTGCATCATCACTGCGACCAGTCTACGGCAGAGGTATCGTGTTTTACATGGATCAAGAGGCTGGGCAGATCCAGGGAGTCATGATTTGGGGCTTCCCCTTCACCGATGGCAAAGACGAGGATACCAATGACAAGGAATGTCAACAACAACTCAATTCTAAACTCGTGCAACACATGCAGGAGATTATCCTAACTAACGGTGGATTTCGCAACCTTGGGCAGGATTCGGAGTTGGAACGGGTGAATTTCGTTCATTACCTGATGAACACCAGTCGCCAACTCGTTGCCAAAGCTATCACACCGTTTGCCGCATCGTCGTCAACATCCATCACCCCCGAAGACTTGCCTCGTCCATTGATTCGATACACGGAGGTCCGGCCTGCTGGAGTAAGACGCGTCAACGTGCTAAATCGCAGGCAAGAAGCACAGGGGCACGGTTTCTTGGGCGAAGACTTGTTTGCTCGGAGTGCTGCCATTGCGGAAGAAGCTCCTGCGCCTCTGCCAAGTTTTGACAGTCTACGAGAGCAGAACGAAGATTTCTGGGAATTCGAAGCGTCTCTCTCAAAAAGAGGAACCAGTCGTGACGAGAAGACTGCTCAGCGGCGAGCCCGTGCCAAAGCACTGCAGGACTGGGCGATTTGGGAATGGTATCAAAGGCGATGGGAAGAGAACGAAGACCGTGCTCGGCCTCCCAGAGAAGAAGCATTGTGGCTTCGAAAGGGAGACGAAAACCGCGGTGTCAGCGCCAAAGATAGGTTCAACGATTCCCTGATGAAAGCAATTTTCCCTCAAGGGAGATGATATGAACGTAGCGTTTGTGGTGACGGAAGGCTGTCCGTGTGTCGACCCTTTGGACGATTTAAGCAGGTGTTTGACTAGCCAGGAATGAGAATAGAACAAAACCAACCTTAATCGCGTGGCCGGCACCCAATGCTCCATTGACAATTTTAAAGACAAGCGTTCAGCCGCGAGTCCTGAGAACATGGGAGCAACGAAGGCACGTGTAGAAATAGCGTAGTCGATGGTGAGACGATCCGGTTTCTTAGACAAACTGTAGCTGCACAAATACTCATCGCGGAGGATTCTCGTCGTCGTTTTGCCTCAGGTATGGCTGTCAATGCAGCAGTCTATCATACATACTGTGATCTGGCTCCAAGAACACACGCTCCCATCCTGCAAAAATTGCGACACTGTTGTCTATTACACCACATCGAAACAATCTATTCAAAACTTTAGAAGGAGACTACGTAGCCAGCCAGCTGTGTGGCTCTTCATACAGGTAGTTGGAGATACGTAATACATAGGATAGTGGAGATACTTAGGGCGCCCATTAATTAAAAAAATGTCGTAAGCTCCACATGTAGCTGAAGCTAGCTATTGATGTTCACTGAACACTGTTTGTCTTCCTGAAGGTACTTTCGAACAGTAAAGCCATTGTAGTCACGTCACGGTTAGCAAGCTTTGAGATCTCATGGTCACAATACTCCTTGCCATGACGTGTTCCTCCAAAGCCACCTCTCTCCCTTTCCGCTTATCATCTGAAGGTCTGATTGTTACTATTGCTCACGCTTGCATCAGACTGATTGTTGTTGCTCTCCAATGAGTTGTCTTCAAACAGATCAACAATGTTGTCGTAGGATGGATCGTAGTCCAAGTTTCCCTCGCTGGGTCCAAAGAACTCTTCCCATTTCACTTGCACCTGTTGACATTGCTGATGTTCCGGGCGCTGAATGGTGGACACAATATCCATTCGTCGTCGCGTCGCTCCCGAGCAAGGAACGAATCCTTCGTACCCCGTAATCTCGGTCGCTTCGCACATGGCTTCTTCGCAGGTTGCCGGGGTAATATCGTCGGCACCAACTTGTAGATTGGTGACCGTGTTGATCATGAAGGATCGTATTCCAATCCACATGCAGTGCTTTTTAGTGCACTCCATATCGACGGCCCAGCATTCGGCACATGGTTTTCGAAAGGTCGTCTTTTCCATGACACATTCCAGCAGCACTTGGAAACCACCTCCACCGAGCGTTTTCTTGGCACATTCCAATGCCACTGGCCCGAGAATGTTGCGAGTGGCATATTCGAGTCGTAGGTCATGCCAATTGGAGCATTTGGAACAAGCCCCACAATGGAGAATGGTGTATCCCGCCAAGTGTGCTTCTTCCGGTGACGCAAATGTGGTTTGTGTGGCTTCGACCCGTTCTCGTCGTGTGCGATTGCGATTAATACCAACGGGTTCATTGTAAAAGGCACATTGTGGCCCCGTGTTGATGGTGGTGTAGAGGATTTCTTCGGCATAGGGCAATGTGTCACGTACAATGGATTCCTGATACTGTGATCCGACCATGACAATGATAAAAAACATGGATGCACAAAAGAAGATGGACCATAGCAACCAACTGCAGCAATTGTAGGTTTTGGCTGCTCCCGAGCGTGTTTGGGCACTGGCACCACATGCCAGGTCGCAGCAAATTTCGTTGACAATGTGGCACCGGGAATCTTCGTCCTGTTGATTTGCATAATCGGAGTCCTCCTCCTCTTCCTCCATGTCATTATTGTCTTCGTCGCTGGTTGTCGGTTGTGAATGCCATTGTCGCCTGTCCTGATTCAGTCTCTCGTCTTTTTCTGGAACTGGAGGCACGTTGTAATCCTCCTCTACCATAACCTCATCGTTGTCGTCATCGTCTTCCATATTTGGAATTCGAGGAGGTTCAGGAGTAATATCATCATCATTCACTTCTTCTTCATCTTCCTCCTCCTCTTCTTCATCTCCTTCTGGTACTGGCGCTGGTAGTGCTGGCAGATGAGGATATTCTTCTTCAATGTGAAATCCTTCGGGTTCCGAAGGGGTGCGAAAGAACGATCTCGCGGGGGGCCGTTGCGAGCGTATGGAGGTTTCCAGAGGGTATCCTTCCGAGGGCGTCGTACGTCCCAGCGTCGCGGGTGTAGCGGATCGCTCCTCCAAGTCGCGAGAACGCTTGGAGACATCGTGAGATCGCCTGGACATATCTACGTCGTGAGATCGCATGGACAGTTCCATGCGATATACGGATTGTCCAAAAAAGGTGCGTGGGCGTGGTTTGACGGCCTGAATCTCCGAATCCAAAAGTTCCGTTTTGGGAGCTTGTCCGTGGTGTGTGAGATAGGACAGATACCAAATCATGGCATGCAAGATTACACCTCCGACAATCCAACTGATAAAGGATAGTGTGTCCAGCAGTGTGATTTGTTGTCCCTTGCGATCTCCCCATACGTCTTGTACGAAACTGCACCCGTACGAGAACAAATAGGCCGACGCCAAAATGAATGCCAACGCCACAAAGAGTGCAAAGGCGAGTAATTCTTTGGGTCGTTTAATGATGCGATTGCCCCAATCAATGAGTAGACAGAGAAAGAATCCCATGATCAGTCCAATGACAATGGAAACGGGAATTGTGGCGGGAGTGGCACCACAGAAAAAGGGTGCCGTCAATGGGAATACCGTGAGAAACGTCTTGAACGTGGCCAATCGGACGCGTCGACGCAAGGAAGGACAGTCGGTCCCGAGATCGATTTGTACCTGATACTCGTAGAGTGACGCGTAGACGGCGAGCCATTGGGGTGCCTTGAAGGAGAGTAGAAAGATGAAGAATGCTCCGACAAAATAGGAAATGCCCACCAAAATGTACGTCGTACGATAATCCATATCGCGGGTCATGAGACTCAAGAGAATCGCCGTGGCCACATAGACCAGCACGGAGATTCCCACGGCGTGGAACATGGCGCGATTGACCACTTGATTGGCAGCGGCCAATGCGGGATCTCCATTGCCATAGCCAAAACTGGCGGCATCTCGAGCCACTTGTGTGACACGAACGTTCCGTTCAATCCATGCTGGAGAGTGGCGCAAGGTGCGATGGAACAGTCGATGGCTGCTGATCAAATGAGGGACCAACCACGCACACACCATACAAATGGCAAAATCAAAATTCGAAATGGCACTTGAATCCACCACCGTGCCCGTATTGGCCGTTGTTGCCGCCACTGCCGCTGTAGTCACCATGATTGTTGTTGATGTTGTTGTTGTCTATTCTGTCAGAAAGAACGAAAGAAAGCAAAGGGAGACTGGTGGGTTCATGCAGTTGACCTGTTGCTGGAATGGGAATGTTCTTCAAACTTGTGTTGTGGCCGAGTACGGACGCTGTACATAGATGAAGGGTTCTTCGATTTGGCATAAATGAGAAAGATGACAGCCATGTCAAGAATAGTGACTCTGGTTGTAACCGCCTTTGTAATAAGTATCCGCGACGCACCACTCAGCCCAACAGCCCAACCTTACCATACCTCTACCTCTACCTCGAGTATGAGATAATAGTCAGAAGTGGACGTGCTCCCTCTCCCTTTCCTGAAGGCTTCTTTGCTGTCCGCTTTGGGGCCAGCAAGCTCGCTCTCGCACTACTTTCCTGTCCTGAGGAGATGTTTCGCCATGGCTGATTCTAACGTAAAAAGACAAACAACCCCTTCAATCGAGGAGGAAAAGCAATACACGGATACCTGCAAGTTACTATTTTCGCAACCAACTCGACGAACACTAAAACCTTTTTTGGTCTGGTTACTTGCTATAGCTAGCTAGGATCTAGCTAGATCCTAGCTAGCTAGTAGCCATGACCACGGCTCGTTATTCAAGTGTTTTTGATAGCTAGCTAGAGTATGGGCTACTGTATAGCTGCCAAAACAAGCTACTACAGCACGATCACCATGCGAGCCACAATCACAATGGAAGTACCTTCGTTTCATTTTCTTTCATCTCCATGTATACATGTATGATTATTTTAACATGGGTAGCAAAATGGCCCTTTTGGGGAGGCATTCAAGTCTGGATCTGGTAATGTTGTTGGGCAAGGCGTACCGTCAAACATGTATGTGGTGGGGGCTGCGCTGAGTGCAATTGGGTTGGCTCCATTGCCCCAGGCACACAGGTCCTGGTTGAAAGAGCCGTATTGGAACATGGTTACAAAATTGGTTCCCTTTGCAACATTCCAACCCGATATGTCTTGATTGAAGCCACTTGATTCAAACATTCCATAAAATTTTACTCCCTTGCTGACATCCCAGCTAGTGAGGTCTTGATTGAATTTTGCTATTGAATGCATGGCGGCACAAGAAATATTGATACAAGTGAGACTAGACGAATTTTTAAAATCATACAGAGAAGAAAACCTAATCCGAAAACTCACGGGTGCGACCAAGCATGTATTGAAAACCAGTGGCGATTGCAACATTCCAGGAACCAAGCGGCTGGTTGAAGTCAGCTAAGAAAACTGTGAGACCCGGTTTTCCTGTAAGGACATAGTCATCACTCCGAAAGTCTTAACGTTACTTACGGCAATTCTCAAATATTCCATCAAATCGAGTGACTCTGCTCACATCCCAGGAGTCAAGATTCTGGTTGAAGGAAGAGTCTACAGAAATGGGGGCAAGCCAAACTTGATGCTTCAGGATGTGCTAGCTCGAAAAAAAAAAGCATTGAAAATCGATAGGCACTTACACCCAAACATGGCTGTCTGCATATGCGGATTATTAGGACCCATCCACACGTTGAGTTTTCAAAACTGCAGACAGATCTCAAACCATGCAAAACTCATGATCTTACCATAATATGAACCTTTGATGTGTCCCATGATGAAATATCCTGATTGAATTTACTCCCATAGAACATCGAAGACATCCAGGTGGTTGCAGATGTGTCCCAGGATGACAAAGGCTGGTTGAAACTTGATGTTTGATGGAAAGCTCTGTACATGTAAGTCACCTGGCTTGTGGTCCATGTGTCAATGTTTTCATTAAAAGAAGACTTGGTACTAAACTGCAACATGTCAAACATGGGAACCTGTGTTACAAGAGAGTCACTACACCACAGCCCTGGAAACAGGATAGTCGACATTCCTACCATCCCTTTTCCTTACCCCTCCTACCCCTCAAACTTCTTTACCAACCCAACTCTCTTCAACAAAGAGCTCGTGATTTGTGGTGAATCATGGCTCTGACCTCAGTGTACAAATCCTTAGATAGCTAACAGGCGTCGCACCCTCTCAGGAGGCCAGTGTGGCCGGTGAGCAGACTTGACTGTGGGAAATACCCGAGCCCTAGCTCGTGGGTAGTCCTCAAGCACATCTCGTCTGAATCCGTTATTAGACGTTCAGTTTTTTTTTTAAAACTGCAACATGTCAAGGTTAGGGATTCTTCAGCAGGAACATCACATATGTGTGCATCAAAAATGACATACCAAGGAACCAAAATCTGAAACTTTAGAGACATCCTGCAAGGGATTACAAAGAGAAGAAGGCTGTGTTTGAGAATAGTTACTTCTCATTTGAAAACCAAAGCATAATGCAAACAAGATTCCAGAAGACAATGCTTACCCAAGTGGCAATTGCTCCTATAGCAAACAAGAAGGCACACAAAGATAAGTCAGATCAACATTCATTGCAAAGGAATAGACATTGAAACTGATCAATCTTATGCACACCATATGGACTTGTAGGAGAAAAGTCATCTGCAGCAATGGCTGCTATAAGTGTTGGCCGATCAAAAACAAATCACCACATGGTTGTGTGGTTGAGAACGCGGTGTTGGAACCTTGGTTGGTTCTTTGGTTGGTGCCTCTGTAGGTGCCTTTGTAGGTGCCTTTGTAGGTGCTTTGGTAGGTGCTTGAGTGGGTGCTTTAGTCGGAGCTTGGTAGGTGCTTGAGTGGGGCCTTTGTAGGTGCTTGAGTGGGGGCTTGGTCGGCGCTTGAGTGGGGTACCTTGGTGGCTCTGAGGTGGGAGCCTTGTAGGTGCTTGAGTGGGTGCTTTAGTCGGAGCCTTGGTAGGTGCTTTAGTGGGTGCCTTGGTTGGTGCTTGGTGGGTGCCCTTGGTCGGTGCTTGAGTGGGAGCCTTGGTAGGTGACTTGAGTGGGTGCTTTAGTCGGAGCCTTGTGGCGCTTGGTGGGGGCCTTTGTAGGTGCTTGAGTGGGTCCTTGGTCGGGCTTGAGGGGTACCTTGTCGGTGCCTGAGTGGGTGCCTGGTGGGCCTTGTGGTGCTTGAGTGGGAGCCTTGGTAGGTGCTTGAGTGGGTGGCTTGGTTGGCGCTTGAGTGGGTGCCTTGGTAGGATTCCCTGGAGAAACCGTTGGCGTTGATGCTGGTGCCTTTGTGGTGCCTTGGTAGGTGCTTGAGTGGGGGCTTGGTTGGTGCTTGAGTGGGAGCTTTAGTCGGAGCCTTGGTAGGTGCTTGGTGGGAGCCTTGGTAGGTGTTGAGTGGGTGCCTTGGTCGGTGCTTGAGTTGGTGCCTTGGTAGGGTTGAGTGGGAGCCTTGGAAGGGGTTTTGTTGGGGCTGTGGTAGGAGCTCTGGTTGGCCCCTGTGTAGGACTTCTGGATGGTGTGATGGTTGGAGCTGGAGTGGGGGCCTTGGATGGCGTATGTGTTGGGGTCCCCGTAGGAATTTTAATAGGTGCTGTGCTAGGTGCCTTTGATGGAGTTTTAGCAGGAGAAATAGATGGGGCTTTTGATGGAGGTGTTTCTCTCTCTTTT